TCCACTCCACCAGGAGGAGGGTCCTGGAGGGGTGGCCCCAGGCCATGAGGCTTCTGGAAGGGAGATGCCTGACTGAGCCCTGAGGGGTGAGTAAGATGCAGCCAGGTTAGAAGGAAGGGTTCAGCAGGCTGCAGAGAGGGCTCTGTGGACTCACGGAGCTTGCCATCGGGGGTCCCAGGGCCCCTGGAGAACAATAGGAGGGGGCACGCCTGGAAAGAGGGATGGCCTGAGGTCAGAATCTGCATCCACTCTCAGGTGGTGGAAAGTAACGTACCAAGTGGTCAGGAGTGTGGTGGGTGCTGGAGGGCACTGGCTGGGGCAGGTCAAAGACTCTTTGAGGTACCAAAACCTCCCACCAGATGGCGCTCACTGTAGCATAAACTTGGTAACAAAGTGGCCCCTGACCCTCTAATTTGCCTGCAACCCCAGCGGGTCTGTTGCTTGGCAGCAGGCTCAGGAGCAAAGGGCCACGTGGCTGGGTCAGCGTCAGGTACAGGTTAAAACAGCAGTCGGCTCCTGCTGTGCCTGAGAGGCTCGTTTGCTAGTTACACTGGCCAGACCTGACCCCGGATCCATAACCCACAGAGACCCGCTGGCCACCTGCTGGGAAACCAAATCCATCAGACCCCTTCCACGTAGGAGGGGACACCACACTGTCCTGCCTAGAATAGATACAGAGCTGACAGTCATGTCAGAGCCCCCACTGCCCGCATCGCCACCTGTGGGCTTCTGGAACACTTCAGATTATGCACAGGGTCCATGCGATGGGCCCTCGACTCAGAAGCCAGTCCTAGTGACAGCAGCAAGACAACAGTCTGGCCCAGGATGCCCAGACTGCCGGCCCCTCTGTCAGGCCCAGAGAAGAACAGCAAGGCCCTGGACCACAGAGAACACCCCTGACCACAGAGAACACCTGAGGTGCACCCTGGACCCCAGAGCCAGCCAGGTGCATCTTGCAGGGGCAGAGCACCCTGTGAACGAGGGACAAATGCATGTAGCTGACTTGACTCTGGCCAGAAAACACAGGCCCAGGAGCCAAGTACACAGGTGAGCAGAGGGTCTAACCCTGGTATCACTAAACAGCCTCTCAAACATTTTCTTCCAGTCCCCACTGTTCTCGGGGCCCTGGGAGGGACTTGTCTACCTGGGGTCAGAGTGAGTTCCTTCAGCCTGGAAGCTGAGAATACTGCTTGGATTTTCCGGCCTCCTTACGCCACGGGGGAGCAGGAAGAGAAGGGCCCGTGTTAGGAGAATGGTGAGTAAGCCTGGGTTTGAATCCCAGCTCTGCCACTGACTTCCCCTGTGTCTCAGTTTCCTCATTTGTAAAATGGAGATGGACGCTGACATAGCACCTGGCATTCCATCAGTGTTAGCCACTATGATTACTTCCCTGTCTGACTATCATGGGGACATGGAGTAGGCAATGGGAACCGAGAGGGGGCGGGGTTCAGCCCAGGGATCCCCCTTATCCTCCAGTGTCTAGCAGTAAACGTTAACAGACATCACTACATCCTCTACCGAAATGACCCCCAGGGCCCAGACCCTTTGGAAATGGGGGTCAGTGTTGCTCCAAAAGGGAAAGTCCTCAGCCAGCTAAGACCTGGCTGGGGGGAGGGTTTGAGGGTCAGACATGAAGTAGCTCTCATACTCTGGCTCCATCAACCAGCTCCTGGCTGGACGTCAGCCCTGAGCCTTCCTCTTCAGCCCCAAGACCACTCTCGTCCCAGACCCTGCGTCCATGAAGGCGGTCCATCTGCTGGGCACTGCCAGCCCCCCTGCCACGACTTTTCCAGCCCCCTTCTGCCTGCACCCCCAGCAACGCCATGGTCCTGTGCCCAGGTAGGGGTTCCTGGCGTGGCACTACAGTATTCCGTGACCCCCTGCTCGTCCCCCTGTTTCATCACCTCATCACCTCATCACCTCGTCACCATCACTCCGCACATCATAGCCACTCATTTTCTGGTTTCCTCCCGCTGTGCCCTCTCTGTGGAACTCACAGCCCTGCCTTCGCCTCTCTCTGGTCTGTCCTGTAACTGTCAGCCCTGTGTAAATGAGGGGTCTCATGCCTGCGTCCCACACCCAAGGGGTCGCCTTCATCATAATTCTGGTTTTATCACAGAACATCCCAGCTTTCCCTCTCGGCACCTTGCAGGACACACCAGTCTGTGCATCTGCATCAGTGTCTGCAAAGTGCTCACACACATGCACCCCTCAGGGACTGAGTGGGTCGCCCTCATGCAGCCGGGTCAGGGGGGCTGACCACCAAGGGCTCAACACCAATTCCCGACTAACACACAGCGAGGGCCGATGGAGGCTTCCTTTGTTAACAGACAGCAAACTTATTCTCGAACAAGAAGCCAGACACTGAGCTATTTCGAGGGTTCACCAAAAGGCTGCGAACCCCACACTGGAGGTCCTGCAACCAGCATGAGACTTCACTTCCGGGCATGCAAACTGGGGCTCTCTGAATCTGGGGGATGCTGGCCAAGGTCACTGGCTCCCGTGAGAGGGGAAAGGGCTCTGCAGGGCCCAGAGAGGAGGCTGGACTCCCGGGGCCTGGCCTCCACTGCAGCTCTTCCCCGGTCCCTGGGATCCGCCCTCGGCCTGTCAGCCCGTCCACGCGGCTGCTTGTAGGGACTCGTTTTAATTAATGCCAGAGCCGGGCCAACCACCGGGGCCCTGACACTTGTTTGCAGGTCATCTCCTCCTAACAGGCTCGCCCTGGGAGGGGATTTGTCACTAATTGAAGCAGAGATCAGTTAATGAGGCCGCGGGGCCTGGGGTTCCAGAGAACAAGGGAAAGGAAAATAAAATAAAGCCTCTTTCTTCGGCGGTTTTGTGATTTACACACACAAAAGAGAAGCAAGCGAGCTGCAGATTTTCCAAGTCAGAAACTCCACTCCATCTGCCGGAGTTAGACCCTCGCTGTGTGAAGACGGCGGGCGGAGGGCCGCCGCTGCTGGGACTCGGATCAGAGCGAGAGGGGCCTCCCGAGGCCGCAATCAATCAGCGGCCTAATTAACAAGTATTTATGGAGCGGTGCTGCATGCCCCCCTCTGGGGAGAAGACACAGGGCCGTCCCTTTTAACTGGTAATCCAGTGGAACAATGAGAGGACAGGGCATGGGGTATCGCCAAGCGCGTGTGAAGGACAGAAGTTTCTAGAACTTGTGGCGGGGAGAACTTGTGGGCTGGCGTGGTTGGGGAAAGCCTCTTCGAGGTCTCTGCAGCTGGGTGGGGAGGAGGGAGGCACAGGCACAGCCCCTGGGGGCAGGGCAGCCCAGGGTGAGGTCCCCAGGCCCTAGGGTGAGACCCTGCCTCTGAGAGCCCTGGAGGACCCCAAGTCCCTGGGAACTCTGGGAGGCGTGGGCCTCAGAATCTCCTCCCCACACCTGGGCTGCCTCTGGCCCTGGGAAGTGGTTGGGATGGAAGGACTGAGGGCCCCTGGGGCGAGACAGCAGGACTGGGGTGCAGGGCCTGGGCCCCGGCCTGCAGGAGGAGGACGTCCCTCAGGACAGTGATCCTTCCTCTCAAGCCCTCCCCAACCAGAACCACTCAGCATTCTCCCACGTGGCTTCTCCTTCCAGCTCGCCACCCCACCTCACCCTTCAATCTCAGAGGGGGAAAGTGGGATTTTCAAGCTGCGAAACGAGGCCGAGCCATCAGCTCCTCTTGTCATAAGGGAAGAGGAGGTGACACTGGCAAGAAAGAGGTGACAGAGCCCCTTCCTGTCTCTCACAAGAGCCCTGACCTTGGTCAGCAACCCCCACAGAATCAGGGATCCCCAATCTGTATGACCCCAACCAAATGGTCTCATCTAGGTCACAGGTGGGTTAGCAGCCTCCTGGCCAGCCCCCGGGGCAGAGTTGGCAATGCCTTGGGATGAGACATAAGGAGTCAGGGAAGGAGAACGCTCTTGGTCATGAAATGGGGACACCCCCCCAACACACACACACACAACAGCTCTTTGCAGATGATCTGGTCTACGTGGGAGTGGAGTAAATGAGGCCATTTCAGAAGAGCCCCAATCCCGACTTTAGGAGAACAGTGAAGTAGAGGATGGGTCAGTGCCTTTTCATGAACAATTGTGATATTTATTTAATGACATGGGAGGGGATGAGGAAACTGGGTTTCGCAAAAAGATTATTATATGTGGATGTTTTTTATTTGAATTTTCTAATTTCCCTCCTACAGTTGCATATATTTATTGCTTAATGAATAAAATAACGAAGTTGTGAAGTGACGGTTGCCCCGGAGTCAGCCACAGGAGAGCACCCAGCCAGGTCAAGAGAGGACCAGACAGGAGCAAGGGTGCGCTCCCGGGGGTGGGAGGGGGGACCCAGGCCGGGGGGCATGTAGGAGCGTGAGCTTCGGTTCTGGCTCTGGCCTTGGCCCTTCGCAGTGTCACCTGCCCTCTTCCCTCACCTGGGATCTGGGATGCAACCATAGGCTCACACAGTCGGCAAACCTCCCCTACTTAATCGCTGCTCTATCCTCAAAGTCCCGTGGGCTCTAAATGAGCTATTGCCTCTGTCTTGAGGAACTTACAGGCCTCCAGGAGGGACTGGACATGTGACGGGGGACAACAGTGCCCCGGGCTCAGGCAAAGCGCAAAGGGCAGCTGGCATTTGGGCCAACCTCGTGCATCATTCCAGAGGCCCTCGCCTCCTGCACCAGCCACGCTCCTGAGTGTGAGGACCAGCTCCGCTGAGGAGAGTGCCAGGCAAAGCTGGCCTCTAGGGACAGGCGTGTGCCCTCAGCTGCAGTGGGCAGCCCTTCCCATCACCCATAGGCACCACCGTACCCCCCGCCTGCTCTCTGAAACTGGAATCACCAGCTTATGCTCTCCCAAAATCTACTCTTCTCTGCCTCGAAAGCCAGTTCTGATAGCACGCCCACAGAAGCCTGTCTCCCATGCCCCTTGCCTGGGTCTGACCCTCAGACAAGGTCTGGCCCGAGATGCTGGGGGCGGGGGCGGGGGCGGGGGGAGGGCTTACTCACAGCGATGGAGACGGCACTGATGACAGCTCCTAGGTAGCCCTGGATGAACTTGGATGCAGGTGAAGGCTGGAAGGCAAGAGACAGGAGTTCAGGCCCACTGGGTGCCCACACTTTGCCAATAGTCCCAGGCAGCAAGGGGCATTCCTGCCTCCAAGACGGGAGGGTCAGGTGAGAAGGAAGAGGTCCCTCTGGAAGCCAGAAGGACCCCAGCCACACCCAGTGCAGTTCTAAATATGGAAATACGAGGAAGCACCGTCCAGGGAGATGCCGAAGGCCCCCTGCACTCTGCCCTGTCCTAACAAGGTCACTGGCAGGCACTGCTGGCGGGAGGTAGAGAACAGCAAGGGTCAAATGGGTCACTCATGGCTGCGCAAGCAGAACCAGTTTAGGAAGACCACATGGTGTGAGCGGGCGTCTGGCCCTGGAGCACTTCCTGGCTGGACATGGCGGGGTCAGGGCTGGCTCCAGCCTGGCTGGCGCTCACAGGCTTTGTCGACCCAGGTAGCAGCTGTGCTTCCAGGCAATAGATGACAGTTGCTCAATATTTCTAGGGAAAAATGCACCTCAAATTGCAATGCAGAAAATTAAGAAAGAGCCGAAGAACTTGCCTTTATATACCACAATGGGAGATGCTTGGTTTAAGGTAAACGGGAGCTGAACAAGCAGAGATGTACGTGTGTGAAGCATTCGAGCGAGACATGGACTGAAGGCTTAGATGGGGAGAGTGTGTGTATTCAAGATATTAGGCCCCAAAGTATTACCCCCTCAGGCCAGCACACACCCTCTCCTACCCAAACTGGCAGCCCACCCCCCAAGGGGACATAGACCCCACCTCCCCTCTGCCTGCCTTTGGACTGAACACTGAGAGAATGGACGGGGGAAAGGCAGCCTCACCAGTGCAGCAGGGCCCAGCCCCTTCCTGACAGCAGAAGAGTGACTGGGCCTCCATGGTGAGTTCTCCCCAGAAGGGCAGGAGGGGAGAAGGTGACAGTCCCTGCAGACCCAGCACCCCTCACCCTCTGCAGCCAATAGTCTGGGGGCAGCGAGGCAGCTTCCAGGGAAGCTTGAGAAAGCTGTAGGGAAATTCGGTTCCTCTAGCTGAGGCTGTCCAGGTCCAACATCTGTATAAGAGCCACTCACAGGGAATTCTGGAGCCAGTGGAGCTGATCCCTGTCGCTGCCCCCCACTCCCATGTTACAGGCCTTCTTCACATCACGTGGACAGTCCCTCCCAGCAGTGTAAATGAGGTGCCTACAGGAGGGCAGTGCTTAGTCTGATGAGCGGTGTGACGCACTGCAGGGAGGATGAAGGGCACCCCAGCCTGAAGCCCACCACTGGAGGGTGGTCCCTGGTGCTCACCTTGGTAGCGTTGCGGTTTGCATAGTTGACACAAGCATTGTGGCTCTGGTTCAGCCACTGAAAGGCAAGGGGGGAGAGGAGAAGTCAGGGAAGGTGTGCTCACCTCCCTGGAAGCCAGGCCTGGGCCCAGGAGGCCACACACCTTCAGAAAGACCTGAGTCGCTAGCTCATGGTGGGTCCATCCGTCCCACTATTACCATGACCAACTGTCCACTTTGCCCGGGGCTGTGCCAGGTTTAGCACTGAACGTCCGCAGCCTTGGGACACCCCCCAGCTCCTGGCAAACCAGGACACTGGTTCTGCCCACCCCGGCAGTCCAACTTGCTCCAGAGACAGTGCCTCTTCCAAAATTATGCCCTAAATGGACCCCCTGCCTTTGCCTCGTCCTCCCTATTACATTACTTACTGGACAGAGGTGGGCATTTAGGCCCCTGGAATGATTGGCAGCCCTGAATCTCTTTCAAAAACATCCCAGCCCCATGTCTTGCACCACCTGCCGTGCCCAGACACCAGCACTGTTGGAGTTGTGCTCAGGGAAGACTGACATCCTCTCCTGAAGACCGACAGGTTCTCTTCCTTCCCCTCTTTCTCTGCAGACACACACACACACACACACACACACACACACACACACACACACACCTTCAACTACTGTCAGAGAGCCACACCCAGACGCTCTTCAAGAGCAGAGACCAGGGTCTGTGAGGCCTTGTCACCCAGCTCACTACCTTGGGGTTGGGGTGCATTTACCTTCCCCACAGATTTGGGTGAGGCTGTTGTCAAAGAGGCTGTGGGCCTCGAGGTCACTGGCCATGGGACCAGCAACCGAGGGACAGAGTGGGCGGCCACCAACCAGCCATCCAGCTGAGGGCACCAGCCCAGCCCTCGTCCCCTTCTCGCAAAGGAGAAAGAAGACCTGGGCTTCTCCCAGTAGCTTCTGGGCTGGGGAGAGGTACGGAATGGGGTGATTCCCCCAAGGGGCACGGATGGGAGAGGAGACGCCGAGGCCAGGAGTTCTAACCGGTACCTGTTGGGCCCTCCCTCAGGAGACTGTTTGCCAGGAGGCTCTTACCTGCCAGAAGACCGTGGACGCCAGTGTCTGGTTGGGCAAAAGAAGGCCGACCACCTGAGAGAAAGAGAGAGAGGGGAAAGGCTGAAAAAGGCAAAAGAAACACCCTACTCTTTTGCAAAGAAAAATTAAACAGGCATGAATAAGAGCAAGCTGAATCTGCACAGACTGATATGGACGATGTGTTCATACAACCTGCTGCCCGTAGCGAGACTGTGCATGATGAAAAAACCCAAGCTGCAGCGTCGTATTACAGCACAGTCCCATTTTTTTTTAAAGAAAAACATCTTATATAAAACCATATACACAAACACACATACATATCTCTAAGCATGAAGAAAAAGCTGTGGCACAGCATGTAGGTCTGGTTACACAGGACTTCCTCACATTCTTCTTGAATATTGCTGCATTCTTTTTAACAGTTGACAGGCATTCTGTTCATAATGGGTGGGCAGGGGAACAATAAAACAAACAAGCAAACTAAACACCATCACTTCTGCCCAGTTTACCCGGCTCCTCCACACTCCAGCCACCCAGCAGGATTTTGTGAGGATTCAATAGAACTCATTTCAAAGGCCTTACGTGCTTTATAAGTACAAGCTGGTGGAATTTATATGTTATCGCTGGGCCCTCATGAAGCAAAACCTACACCATGTTTAAGCTATTGAACGAAACATGGATGTCTAATAAATATTTGTTGAATGAGTGAATGAATGAATGAGCCAATACACCCATAGAGCTAAGCATGGCTACATATGTGTGGATCCATTATTCCCAAAGCCAAATATCACTGAAGACCTAGACTCACTGACTTTGGTTTTTGGTTTTTGTTTTGGTTTTGTTTTAAGTCAAGATTAATTATCTGACTGGCCAAACCTTGGACTTCAGGGATCCACATGTCTCTGTAGTTTACCTTTTGGGTGCTTGTGTGAAAATAACACCTACCCAGTTCTGCTGCATATGGGAAAAAAATGTGCACAACCATCCACATATTGACTTATTTATTATTCCTGTAGATAAAGTGGCTCTTTGGCAAGAATTTCTGTAAGGAACAAGTATAAACACTCAATCCTATGCAGTAAATCAAATTCTAGACATCCTCAGCAACATTAGTAAATCATGTTTTAAAGATTAAAATGTTTTTAAAACAGTGAATATGCACATACATTTATATTTATTGGCCCATATCAGTTTGAATAAAATTATACAATGTAAAGGCATTCCATAGCTCCAGTGAGAAATTGTGATGATATTTTTCTCCCTCAAATGAGATGGTAACTCCAGTTTTCTTTGCCATGACAGCTGCGGGTACTGGAGTGGGAATCAGGAGACCTGGGTTCTCACCCCAGTTCCATCCCTGTGTGATCTCCAGCATAAACAGTCCCCTTTGGGGTTCCACCTTTCTTACCTATAGAGTGAAGGGGTTGACCTTGGGGGTCCTATCTTCTTTAAATTCTATTCTCATTTTCCAAATAATACACATAAAGTCCATAGAGATAGCCCCACCCCAGCCCAATTGAGAAGTATCATGGGGAACACAGGACCTCCTTCTAGTCGGACCCCAGTCAGGAGCCAGACCATAGAGAGGAAGCTGAGCCTAGAAAGGCATGAAGCTGGGAACAGATAGCACGAGCCAGCAAATGTGTGTGTGTGTAAGTAGTTCTTCCCTGTTGGGAGGATATCATTCCCCGTAATCTGCTGGTTTATATTACGTGGGTGTGTTATGAACGTCATCGCCTTCTTTCCCTCAACCCCCATTGCACCCCCTGAACTGTGCTTGGCCACCAGGAGAGGGTACGATGCAGCCCCATGGGACTCACTGTTGGTACCAGACAGCTGTTGTCCAGGACCCTCGCAGCTCGTTACATCAGAGGGTCCCCTTATGAGTCCTCTCCCCTGGGTTCAGAAATCGTACTGGTGAGCATCTGGTTTGCATCGGCCTTGCAGACACAGGGCATTTTTAACTGTGGTTCCCTTTGCCCTGACTGTCGAGGTCAGGCCAGATCTCCAGGGCCCACCTCTGCCCAGTGTACACATCCTCATGGCACATACGTTCTGTCCAAACTTCACTCCTGACTTCATCTTCCCTTCCCTAAATTTCCTTTTGTCTCATTTTCATCTTCATTTGTTTATCTTGTGCCATGTCTTTTTAAAATCTGATATCAAGTCTTTTCCAGAGCAAACCACAGCCCTAAACTAAACCGGTACCCAGGCTATGTACTACACACACGCACACGGCTGTAACCAGCCGGGTTTTCACCTTGCTGGCCCACCTCCTACCCTCACACGAGCCTGACGTCCATGCACCTCTGACTCCTTATGCTGTCTGAAGGAGATGGATGGGTTTTGCTAAGCATTTCCCCTTATGTCACTTAACCATGGTCCTTATTATAACTCTGGGGCTCAGAAAAAAAATAGAAATTACTTTCTGCATTTTGCAAATGGGATAACTGAGGTTGAGAGACATTTGGTGACCTGCCCAAGGCTTTGTCGCTCCTAGAAAAAGAGGCAGGTCTCACCCTAACCGCTTTGGCTCAGTGGATAGAGAGTCAGCCTGCGGACTGAAGGGTCCCAGGTTCGATTTCGGTCAAGAGCATGTACCTTGGTTGCGGGCACATCATCAGTAGGAGGTGTGCAGGAGGCAGCTGATCGATGTATCTCTCTCATCGATGTTTCTAACTCTCTATCCCTCTCCCTTCCTCTCTGTAAAAAAAAAATCAATAAAATATATATATTTTAAAAAGAGCCCCATCTCTCTGATTTGAGGGGCTCCTTCTCCAGCTCATCTCCTTGCGCACAAAGGAAGAAGCAGGCTCCGTGCCCGTTTTTGAGCATCTTCTGTGCACCACGTTCCCTGCTGCCCCCTGAGGAAAGGAATACAGCCTCCCTCACCACAACAAACCAAAAACCAACAGCAAAGTGCATGAGAAAGTCTTTACACCACATGGTCAGGAAAGGGACAAGGAGGTTTAATCGGGCACTTAATTGTGTCTGTAAATCTGATAAATTCTAATGTCCACACAGGGGTTCAGGCAGGGAGAGGTAGATGTGCTCCGGCTCTCTCCGGAGGAGGCAGTAAGGTGGCGCTGAGGTGTGCGTGTGTGAGCTCAGGGTAGCGGAACAGCTGAGACTGACCTCATTTAAGGAGGAGGTGTGGGAAGTCAGCTGACTGGAGTCCAGGAAGGGTGAGGTTAGAAGGCAGCGGAGCACCATGCTGCATTGGCCAGCCCGACAGCCGAAGGGGGCCGTTTGAGCCCAGGCGAAGGGAATAGGGACCCCACCCTCCAGGCCCTGCAGTCAGGCTGCTGGGGCCAGGAGCACACGGTGCCAGCCCCATTCCCTATTAGGCAACACGCAGCACCATCTGCACAATCCCAGGAGCAAGAGCAGATATTTTATAACTTCCTTTTTCTTTTTAAGTCTAAATTAAAAATAAATGTTCCTTCAGCTCTCAGATGTATATCTCTGGTGCAACCTGCCCACATTCCCTCACGCTGCCCTTTCCAGAACATGGCAGGGGAAAGGAGGAAAGAGATGGATGGAGAGAGGGAGCCAGTCCACCCGGCTTCAATGCCAGTGGATGGCACCTCTTCCAAGAGGGAACCGCTTCAGGCGTGGCCGCGCAGATGGGTGGAGAGAGCCCAGAATGCGGCTGGTACCAGGGAAAGTGGAAGGAGAGCCAACAGCCAGAATTTCCAGCCCAGCCTCCACCCTATCTTGCCGCAGGACCTTGGCCAAATCACACATCCTATCTTTGCTCCCATTTATAGTTCATAACATGGCTGGGGTCTCCTCCACAGCGCCCACCCCCTGGAAGCTGCCCCCTATGCACAGCTGTCTATTTCTGCCACCCCCTTCCCCTTGGACGGCTGGCCATGGGCCCTGGTGATGAACTCTCAGGCTCTGGCTGCGGGAAGAGCTGGACTCAAATCCTGGTTCCAGTATTTATCAGAAGGGCGACCACATGCAAGTTACTTGAGTTCTGTGTGCCTCTGTTTTTTCCATCGGTTACGTGGTGATCAGGGCTCCTCTCTGGATGTCAGGGGAGCAGGCGTGGGAAGCATTCGGCACAGTGTCTGTCATCCAGCCAGTGCTTACCACCAGGTTAGTATGATTCCTCTCCTCCTGTCTCATTCTTTTCCCGTCTTTGCCGGTCTCTCTTTTCTCTGAACTCCAGTCTGCTTGACACAATTGAGCATCATCTTGCCCCATCTTATCTTTGGACACCAGCCTTATCCCTCAACGGATCAGGAGCTCCTGAGGGTAGAATAAGGGCTTTTCTCCCTGATGTCCCCCCAAGCACTCAGCACAAAGATGGGCCCAAATGACATGCTGGAAACATTGCCAACTGATTAAGAACATTAAACAGTTATTGGCCAGAAAAAGATGGATGATGGATCGTGACAATGACAACCACCAACCATCTCTTCCTTGGCCCTTTTATTAAAGTTTGAATTGCATGGGGGTTGGGAGGGGGTAGCCTTTGGAGAGAGGATGCAGACTGAGTTTGGTTCTGAGTCTTCACGCTTCCCTGTATCTATACCCTGGCCATGGGAGGGATGTATTTCCCTGCTCTTGGTGTGGCTTAGTCACGTGACTTGCTTTGGCCAATGGCGTGTGGGAGGAGGTGGCAGTGTGCCAGTTCTAAGCCAGGCCCCAGAAGCCTCGTGTGCTTCAGTCGCCCTCTGGTGCTTCTAACGCTGCTGCGAGGAGACGTGCCCTGACTGGTGCCCGGTCCAAGGAGGATGCAACATGAGGAGCAGAGTCCAGCCTGGGTCACTGATCCCCCGCCGATCCCAGGCCTGTGGTTAGCAGCAGAACTGCCTCAGCCAAGCCCAGTCTAGACCAGCCAAACCCCAGATCCCTAACAACAAATGTGTATGACTGCCACTGACGTTCTGCGGCTGTGTGTTACGTGGCACTATCGTAGCAAAATCTCGTTAATACAGAGATGACCACATAGGAAGAGTGAATGTGCTGTCCTTTCTGGTTTTAATGTTCTGTATCATTAATGCACCTTAATTATGTCTTCACTCGTGATGCTGGTTTCTGAGTAG